GTGTGTGTGTGTGTGTGTGTGTGTGTGTGGCTGGCTGAGGGTTTTTCTAATCTATTTTTGCATCCTGCTCTATTTGTTTAGCAGGTCAGTGTGCAGAGCGAGGCCACCGAGGACACACTGCTCTGCTTCGGGCAGGTTGCGAGCTTTCTGTTTTTATTCTGTGAATAAGGAGGAAGAATGGCGGCGATGTTTCGATCATCCTCTCTGGAAAACACTGAAGAAATGTCTCTGTTCGAACGGGAAAAAGACAATTACTTTGTCACAGATGAGGACTGTCGCAGTGAGGTGAGGCTTTCAAAACTACATGATTACTTTAGTACATTTTTTTAAACACAGCCTGTTAATATTGAAAGCTCTACAAGGCTTTTGCAAGATTTGTAGTAAAGCAAGCTCAAGATTAAAAGATTTAAGAAGTTATTGTTACGTAGTATGTCCCAGGCTCCTCTAACAATGCAACATTAATCTACATAGGCATAAAACAATAGAAATAGCGCGAGATTATAAGAAAATATAAGAGAATATTGCAAGTCAAAAATATGCAAGTTAATGTAGAAATAAGTAAACTATATACTACATAAAATAAAAACACAATGCTTGACTAATACACTGAAGTGGAAGGAAAAAAACGCTTATTGTAATAATACGTATAAATGTGAGCTGTAAACGTATAAACAGATGAAGGTGTTCAGCTGATCATATTGATTTGAATTATGATCTTAACAACTTTTTTCCAACGTCTACAGTGAGTTTTATTGTAGGGCTTATGGGTTCAATGCAAAATGGGATAGACGCAGAACATTTTTATAGTTGAAGGTATACTTTTTATATTATTGCAGTGGTTGAAAGTGATGCAGTATATCATATGTATTACAAGGCACTAGAGACCTTTGTCGTGCAGTTACAGAAATAAAATATGATTTGTTTGCTTAATTATATTCATATGCATTGAAAAGAGAAGACGAGACAGAAATCCCCTCGTTTGCTTCCTTTTGTTAACCCACATCCTCACCCCAGGTCTCTTGCCTTTTGAGTTCTTTGAAACCGCAGGTGTTGCAGGAAATCAATGCAATGCATGAAGTGTGTTGTAAAAACTCACTGTTTGATTACAGGTTGTCAGTTATTAAAGGTAGAGATTTTCTTTAGCCGTTACGATTATTTAATGCCCCTCCCATTATTAGTCAAGCCATATTCAAAGATGCTCCATTCTGCTTTTTTCAGTTCTCCCTCTCCTGTAGTGGGTCATTTAGGTTTTTGCGCATGTAAATGGTCTGCAAAGGCTAAAATCCCTGTGTTCCCTCCAGAGGAAGTTTCTCTCCCACACACTCCCCCCCCTTCCTGAAACGCCTCCATTAGATTCCTTTGTTTTCTTCTGTAACATAGTGACATCACTATGTGTAACATGGTTGGCCAATCACAACAGAGCAAAGCAGCTGACCAATCAGAGCAGACTGGGCTCTGGTTTCAGACAGAGGGTGAAAAGAGGTGCTGCAGCACAGGCAGTATGAGAACAATAAAGGGCTTTTTGAACATTAGAGCACGGAGACATGTGTCACAGGACACTACATACTGATATGAACCTGAAAATGAGCAGAATATGTTGCCTTTAACAGTAAGTCTGTTATTTGATTATTCCAATTAGATGTTTACCAGAGTGAAAAGAAAAATGTTCAACTCTAATTGGATGATTACACTAATGAATCCAAGAGCAAAGTGTTAATACAGTACAGTTTATTGTTGAGATAACATCTGCAAAATGTCGACAACTTCCTCTTTTTGACTTATTTGTGGGGTGTCTCTTTGAGTTAGTACTTGTCCGCTGTGAGGGTCCAAGGACAGAAGGTTGCTGTTAGTCACTGTAAAGCCCCTCTGAGACTAATGTAAATATTGATGCCGATTGATTGTTTCTGACCTTTCAGGAGTTTGACTGGATTCAGTGTGCAGCGAGGAGGGGAGAAAGGGGGCCGGAGCGTCCGCAGGTCTCTGTTTTGTGGAGATCACGGTCCCGCAAAGAGAGCCGCA